AGAGAGAGAGAGAGAGAGAGAGAGAGAGAGAGAGAACCGAGCGATAACAGTTTTCAGCTATGGAGGGAACACCGGTCAGGTCGAAGGAATCTTTCCCTTTCAGGGCATTTGGTCGCAAGCGTGCAATGAGCCGTTCGTTGCAAGTCCTAGCATCGCACTGGGTTTGGCTCCTTCTTTTGATGGTCGTGGGATGTTTCCCGATGGATCCGTCAGCATGTGGCCCGATGCACTTTAACCCGAACACAATGTATTCATGGCATACCTGACCGGACTGGGAAGGAACCGGATCGCAAATGGTCCATGCCAATCACACATCACATTTCTGATGTCTTGCAGGGCCGTTATCGCCTGAGACACAGCAGACCAAGAAAGTTGATTGCGAACAATTGCTCGTCTCCAGTCCCGGCGTGCGAGATGCATATCAACGGACATAGCAAGTTTCTAGCGGAGGGAGCACTTGGCTCGAAAGGGTAGAACAGCGGTGGAGGACGTCGTAGACGGGCATCTACAAACGTAATGCTTCTTTATAGACTTCTTTGTAGACTTCCAAAGGCTTTCACACCAACGTCCTCGACCTTGACAAGGCTAAGCATATTGCAAGCCGTGTGCACCTGTCATGGCGGCGGTTGTCGGCTCCGGCTGCCGATCCGGCTGCGGCCTGGCGGATTTCGAACGAGTTCGTCGAAACAGCTACATATCTGGGATCTTTGAACATCTGCATGTTGTTTCCGTTGCCGCCGCCACTGCCACCGCCGCTGCCGCCGCCGCTCAGCTGCCGACCGACCCACCCGCCGTGGGCCGAGGAACCCAGAAATTGCCCAGTAGCGGCGGCTGCGGCAGCAGGAATTCTTGCAGGACTGCATTCGGCGGAAAAGCCGAACGAATCCGAGGTGTCTGACGACATCGGCACGGTGTTGCAGCAGCTGCTGTCGCCACCACTCTCGCTGCCGCTGCTGTTGATGCTTAGGTGACTGCGGGGAAGATGGCTGTGGTCGACAGCGCTTCCGGTTCCCGCGGAAGCGACTACCTTTGAAGTCGTCGACCTCGTCCTTTTTCCATCCTGGAGATGGTCGGTTGCGAAGTGTTTGATGGTGGGGGACACAGCAGCAGCGCAAACGGCCATTAGAAACGCGTAAGTTTTTTTGACAAGGTTCAACGGCATGTTTCTTCGTGTTTTACAAGCATCCCATTATCTGGGATTTAGTGTGTTCGGTCAGGATGAAAATTCAACGTGTTTTGTTTAAAACTTTGCCTCACAGAAAACAATCACAACAAGGAGGTTTGCACAATAACAGGAAAATCCGCAGCCAACCCGTGAGCGAACGATCCCTTTGTACATATCAACGCAAACACACAATACACCCCTCGAGGGAGAAACGTTATATCTGCACGGAATATGTGGGCGGAGAAACAGCAAAAAACTGGTCGCCCACCAGTTTGTAGCCTTGAATGCTTTTTACCTTGGGAATTTACCTCCCAATCTCTGGCGTATTGGTACATAGCCAGGGATCGTTGTGATGTGATCCAACAACTCGGAACGCATGATGATCGAATTGGCGACAGCAACATCGGTATCCAGGTATGGAACATCTCGCCGCGAGTGAGTAAGTTTCTGCGTCATAGCCTACAGCGTAGTAGATACATGTATGCAAATTTTGAAAGATGTCATTCGAAAATATTCATGTACTTACGGAATCGATCCGCCTGTTCAGAGAGTCGAGGGTCACGTACACGTACATACATACCCTAGGCGATACTCAGGGACGGGACGTCACCTGCCATATCATTCTCATGAGTGAAAACTTGACGACAGAGATATTGTCTAGACTATTGTAGTGTACAGTACAGTAGACTCCATATATATATTACAGCACGACGAGCGGGTGTCAAGGTTCCGCAGAAATTTATTATTTACGCTACAAACTGGTGCGATAGTTAGGCTACTACATATTTGTACATAGAACTGGTGGTTTGGATAGCGACCCGAAACAAACGGTGGCTTGCAACCACTTTTTTACATAGAGCAGCTTCAGCTTCTACTGTGCTGCAGTGCTTGCCGTAGTTCCTTGCCGCAAGAAGGATTCAGTTGCCCTTTGCCATCGTTGACGCAGTGCAGTTGTTTTTTCGATACTCACTACACAATGCTGCTTCTTCTCCGCCATTGAGTTGTGCCTTTTGTGTCGTAAAAAGATGCCACCAGTGGTGAAAGACGTGATCTTCCCCACTCCATCCATGGTTGTCGATGACATAAGGGAACCGGATCCCAGGAAAGCTCTGCTCTGGCTCTCTCCCGTCTCTCTCGCCCTTTCTCTCTCTGCCTCGTGATGTGCCCCCGATGGCTTTTCTCACGTGTTTGGATTCGGATCAAGCTCCCACACCTAGTACTACTAACTGTTAATCCAGCTCGCAATTGTTTGTGCGTGACTGCTGTTCCCGAGTCTTGTGGGGGAATTGCTCTGTCTCCAAGAATACCTTGTCGAGACTAGACCCCGAGCAGCCTTTGGCGTTAGGAGAACGTATGTTCGTGCGTACGCGTGTCCGCCGATTGATCCGTGTGTATGTACCTTGTTCAAGTGCCTGTTCGAGGGACATGCTCAGAATGACGTCATTCACGTCATATTATTAGTTGCGCCCGTTCGAGGGGACATGCACACGGCAGTTTGTTGTTGTTGTTTTTCTCCCATCATTGGACTCTGTCGTCTGCCCCTCTGGCCCGTATCCTCCACTTCTATCTACCAGCTAGACGACCCAAGCGGGGTCACATAGGAGGGGGGAGTTGGACCCCCTCCTGCGGTTCCTGCCTGAGATATTTTTTTCGCGAGAAGGGTACATAGAGCATTTCCTTTCCTCGCGACTTAGACTGTGAAGTCGATCAAGTTTACTAACAACGAGCTTTGCAGCGCGTCGCTTCNTCTACCAGCTAGACGACCCAAGCGGGGTCACATAGGAGGGGGGAGTTGGACCCCCTCCTGCGGTTCCTGCCTGAGATATTTTTTTCGCGAGAAGGGTACATAGAGCATTTCCTTTCCTCGCGACTTAGACTGTGAAGTCGATCAAGTTTACTAACAACGAGCTTTGCAGCGCGTCGCTTCCAACGGAGACCAGGATTAATAAGCGAGAAAAAACTCACTCTGTCGGGACTCGAACCCATGACCTAGCCCTCAGCAGGCTGCGAGGCTACCCACTAGACAACCGGGGCGACCGGTATCTGTGACCGTGTGAAAAATATACACATTCCTTTCCGATCTGTTCGATGAAAAATATTGTGCTGTCTTGGCCGTTCCATCCGAACCGGCACGTAGTGCGTGGTTTTTCCAGGCAGCGATTCACGGCTCACGGCACCCCAACAACGCCGGCGAGCTGTGAGGTGCATGGACCAATCCACCCTCCCTGTAAAAGAACGTCAGCCGCATACTTCAGTAGACTCAATACCCTTGTTCATACATAGTGCGGCACACATACGCAAGAAGTATCTTTGGGTTTCACTGGGTGGGCTCTTCGAGCATAAACAACACGTCAGCCGTGTGGTGGGTGATAGTGGGTTGTTTTCGAGCTTGGGAGAATCACAGCAGGCGCGTGGCAGCCAGCTGTGGGCTGATCAAGCTTTTCTGCTGCTGCGCGACCTCTTGCCGCTCCAGGATCTACTGTCGTGTCCTCTCCGTAGCAAGCATGTGCTACGGCCAACAATTGCGTAACGATCAGTTTGTTCTCTCTCGGCACACACGGGCTAAATTATTCCATGTAGTTGTATATCCACGCAGTATCGTAGCACCTTTCATTCATCACGGCCAACACAACCAGGGCGGTCTGTTGTTCTGGAGCACAACAACAGTGCTGATGCTGTGCATCATCGTTGTCCCCGCCGTGTGTACATGCGGAATGGAGCAAGAGCGCAAACGGAGAACCAACTGGGGTGCTGAATGAAGTGCACGCTTGTTCACGTTGCTCGTTGTAAAGCGATGCACCTACCTGTGAGTTACCGGCTTGTATGCGGATGAATCGAGGTCTTCACTGAGCAGACCAGATAGGTAAAAATTCAAAGACACCAGCAATAAAAACAGCAACGGCGGGTAGACCTACCTCTCCGCGGTTGCTTGTTTGTTACTTCAAGAGGAACATATTGCAGCAGCATCCGAAGAAAAATGAAGTGCAGCAGCTGCCACGGCGAAAGTTTCTATACTATTAACTCACCTCTACTCCTCTAGCCCCCCTCCCTGATCGGGAAAATACACATGCCCCGGACCCACTCTTTCACGAAAAAAAACACCCACTGGATGGGAGATTCCGCAAAGGAGTTTGGGTTCTCCGCACGACCAACATAACAAACTCCCTCCTGAATTCCACGACATCTAGACTACTTCGACCGAATACTGCTGTACATACCACAGGACTGTAACCCTTCCTAGAAGGTTCAGCATGGCACTTCACCAAAGGAAAAAATAAAGTCGCTTCACTACCCTAGTATGTTCCGTTGTTTGCGGGGTAACAGCAATGCCCGGCGGGGAACACGCTTAACAGTTTCAGGATGGCAATAGCGCACCAACAACGTCCCTTTCCTAATAGCCTAGCGAGGCGCACAAAATACCCAAAGAGGGGATTTCATCGCACATGCCGTGCGCGGGCGTTCGCGGCGAAACGACGCCCCGACCGCCAGCACGAATTCCAACCAAAGGGGAATTACTCTCCCCTGTAAACCCACTTACACTGCACCTACTGGGTCACACAACCTACTCGTACACAACCGAAACAATATCCAACCACAGCACTAGAAAGCGTGGTGGCGAGTACAACATGCCTCTCCTCACCGTCTTGTCCAAAGATGAGGGGCTACATGAACTGTATCGTTCATCACGCAAGGACTAAACACGAAAAGGGTACGGTAACTCTAACGGTAACTCACCAGGAATGAGCTTGTCGTGCTCGAGCCTACAAGGGACAGCACCGTCTACTTGCGATGTATGTAACACGACGAATCCATCGCTCCACCTCCACCCTTTTCTTCTGTTTTGTACAAGAAAACCACATAACTACAACTAGTGAGGGCACGCGCACACCATTCACTGAACAAAACAAAACCACCCCCCACTCCCAACTCCATCGTATGACCCCACCACAATTTGAACGCCGGCACCCAAAAAGAAACGCCATTACGCAACAACCAACCAACGAAATGACGCACAAGTTTGCCTAACTATGTTTCTCTTCAGCAAGCGACTGTCCGAAGAACATCCGATCCGCGGCTCTTGTTGCCGCGCCTGCACCCTCCGTTTCCCTGTACAACGCGCCGCCGACCGACGACGCCTTCCAACGACAACCTGCTAAAGCATGACACCGGCAATAACATCAAAAACTAGCTAAACAACGAGGCCAAAGTCCATGTCCTTCGGCCAGGCACAGCGCTCGTACAGGTACACGTCCCCCTCGGTTGTCCTCCCGATCCGAAGCTGCTTCCCCACGTACGTCACCTCCTGCGTCACCAGTCTTTCCAACCCCTTACACCTCGCCGCGACCAGGCCCAGGGCGCTGAACACGGCCGGCGGCGGGGTCGGCGAGGGCGCGCGTTTCGGCGAACCGGCACTGGTCTCGCCGTCGCCTCCGCCGCCGGCGACGACGGTGGCCGAGCGAGCGGCCACGTGCTGCTTGAGGAGACAGCCTTCCCTCTGTTGGTCGGGCGGTGACTTGTCCGCCCACCCGCGGAAGAAGTAGGCCACAGTGGCTTTGGGGGCGGCCTTGGAGTCGCGTGAAGGTGGCGACAGCGGTGGGGTTCCGTACGAAGCGCCAGCGGTTCCACCACCGGCTGCCATCGTGGCGGCGGCGGGCCGGAGAAGAACCTCACACCGGAACGGTGCTGGCTGCTTGCAGCAGGGCCTCGGCTTGATCGCCATGATGGGAGGGGTTAGCCGCTGGTAGACTTCGTTGCCTGGCGCGTTTTCACGAATACAAGAAAACGGTCCGACGGGGGGGGGTCCGTGTTCGACGCTGAGACACCAAAAAATAATCATTGCTGCTGTAAATAGCATCGGCCGCGGCAACGCCACCAGTTAAAACGAGCAGCGGGAATTCGATTACCCCCAACAAGCTTCAGTGCAGGAAGACCATCACCGACGACAAGGTGCGTGAGCGAGATGGTAGGATAGGGGAAATAGAAAAGGACAGCACGGGCAAGGACAAGGATACCGACAATCACGAGCCGCTTTTCTTGCTCAAGGATTCCATGTCATTATCGGATGGGGCGGAGGTGGGTCCGACAGCCTATCAACAGGAAAAACGGTGACACGCGGGGGAAGGCAGCGCGAAGCAGCGGCACACAACAGCAGCAACAAGTACATACACACCTGTTCGGGAAAGGTAGCGGTTGCAGTCCGCGCTGGTGGTGAACACGAGCCTCCAGGTGCCGCTGAGCGCGCGCACCCCGGCCCCGGCCCCGCCCCCCTTCCTCTCCAGCTCCCCCGCGAGCTCCTGGAACCTCTCGGATGGCGCCGCGGAGGCCACCGTATTCGCCGGAGTCGCCGCCGGCACGGCTGCAGTGGCAGCGGGAGGAAACTCAGGCGCTTCTTGGAAACCCTTGTTGCTGTGGCACAGGTCCAAAAGCTTGGTCGCTAGAACTGTCTCTTCCTCGCGCTCGTGGGCCCTTGTGCTGACCCCGCCGGCGCCGGCGCCGGTGCCGCCGATGGCCTTGCCGCCGGCCGCCGTCGGCTCCGGCCACAGCGTCAGCGGCAGCGTCGGAGGCGAGAGGGCCGACCGTACCGCCTCCACGACGGCGGCTTCCCCGCCCGCCGCCTCTGCCAGGGCCAGGTCGCCGGCGAACACCGACCACGAGAGGACCCGCCGGTTCTTCTTGGGGTTGAGGGCGATGGCGCGGCGGATCAGGGCCCAGGCGCGCCGCCTGGAGTGGGCACTGTGCTTGATCTTGGACTCCATCAGCGCCCAGGCCACCAGGAGCGTGTCGGAGCTGGGACAGTCTCGTATGCCTTGCTGAGAGTTGTGTTGAGGGGATGGGTGGAGGGAGGGCGGCGGCGGCGGCGGGGGGTTGGGTGCTCAGGGAATTTTGTTTGTCTTGCTGGGGAGGGGGGAAGTGGGTTGGGTTGTAAGGAATCGCAATTATTCGACTCTGATTCTGTCCGAGCGTGCGATCCACGGCATGTACGTGCGTCACTGGACGGTTGGCGTGATGAATCAGTCGGAAGCATACCTGCTGTACCGTAGCGGCAAACAGACAGACGAAGGTGGCAGAAATCATGCACAACATAGGGGGGACTGAATCTACGTGCTGCTCTAGAGTGTATTTGGTACGCATAATCCTTGTACGCCAGAGACCTGCAACAAAAGCAATTCTTCGCCCACGTTAGTATTTTAGTGCCCGGTATACTTACGGATGCGGATGCCGATCTACTTAGAGACTGTCGTAGATTGCACAAGATACCACACCCCTGAAAATGACGCCGTTAGAAACGACAACGACAATGCGAATTGATTCTGTGGCATCCTTGTTCGTGTGTGTGTACCTTCGTCCTATTGTAATTATTATGGCAACAGTCCCCCCATTTTCGTGTGGAATAAAAGAATAAAAGAATAAAATAGTAAAATAAAGTAACAGGTTTTGAAACCGGCCTACTTGCTACAATGGGGTGTGGTATCTACCGCAACCTAACCCCGTGTTCGATGGGAAAACAGATGTGACATCGTTCCGATTAATTTACTGCTCTGCTCGCTGCCAATATGCATGGTATAACCGGATGGGGATTATGAAAGTGGGAGGGAGCGCGCACGATTGGACACACGCCTTGGTCGAGATGATTTCCAAAAGTTGTTCTTGCACACGGTCTGCACGTTTGTCCGCACACCAGCTTTCAGATAAGATATGCTGCTGTACATCGAGATGTGGTCTATGCCCACACCTGAAATGCTCTCCGTCCGCCAGCCACCCCGCTACTCTTCTGCGCCGCGAGCGCAAGCCTGAGGTGCGCCTGCTCGACCGCGTTCCAGTCGTCGGCAAGGTCGATCACCCTGGAACACCAATGCTGCACCTCTGTCCAATCCTTGACCCGATGCGCGGATCTCGCCCTGCGGTTGATCCGTTGGGCGGAAAAATAAAATTGCAGCAACTTAGCAGCAGTGAACTTCAAATCGTAGAAGCAGCTGGAGAGAGCGACCGACAGAGAGAGAGAGACAGTCTGTGGGCAGAACTGCTGCGCATGCATGATGGATCCTTGGTTGTGGCAAGGGTCGCTCTAGACTCGTGCCTGCGACAGGATCGGTGGCACACAGCTCAAATTCGCACAAGGACATGTATTGCTGTGAAATTGCCGCCAGATTTATGACTAAAAACACTGCCTCATACATACCTCTCAAGCTGCGCGTCCCATCTGGTGAGAGGTTTCGAGCGCGGAGACAGCGAGCTCCTGCCGAAGCGCGGGGAGGCTCCGGTCGAAGGAGCAGCAGCTCCTCCCGCCGCGCCCGGGCTCCGCGGCTGGTGAGTCGGCGGCGAGACCCACGCCTTCGTCAGGCTTGCGCCCGCCAGCAAGAAGATCACCGTGCCGAGGAGAGATGATGGCATTTTTTCGCCTGCCCGTTGCGATGATGCTGGTGCACGGTGCTGTGCCGACTCTCTGTCGTCGCGGTACTGCTGCTGCCGGTTTGTGTGCGTGTGGCCTGGAAAGTAAGTGGAGTGCCCCCCGGGTGGTGAACAAGATTATGTTTGTGTGGCGGAAGGCGGGTCGTGTGGCCCAGCAGCGGCGGGTCCGAGGCGTGTGCCAGGCCGCGGAGGGGTAGCGTGTGCCTTCGGACTTCGGGCACGCGCTTGTTGTTGCAGTTGGCGAGAGAACAAATTTAGAAGATCTTTCTTTTCGGAGCAATAATGCGGTGTAAAATTCTAGCAATTTCCAAACGTGTGCGTACGTCTGTCAGACTAACGACCAGCGAACGGCCGCAAGGGGGAGAGGACTGAGGACAGCAGTGTGCTCCATAGTCCAAGCCGTTTGTTCTCAAGAACTATATCGAAATGTGTCTGGCGAACACAGAGACGTAGATACACACATGTGAACGCACGATCGGCGGAGCCAGGTCTCTGGAACTCGGCAGGTTGCATAGGATACCAACCCCCCGTTGGGACCGATTTTCATAAATGACGTGTTGTAGCTCGACTGCTACACACACGACGAAGGAGATGCTGCAGCAGTGTGTGTTTTTCGTCCTATTTATTATGGCGTCAGTCCCCCCGTTTTTCGTGGTGAGACGTGTAACAACACTCTTCAGCGTATGTATGTAGAGTACTACACTTTCCAGTGTATTTTTCCGTATTGTAACAACCATCCAGGGTCACACAGGAGGGGGTAAAGTAAACACCATAGGGCTTTTTTCTTCCATATTTCTTTTCATGTCCCACCTTCCTCCTGCGGTGCGTGCTGAATTTTATTTTTATCGCGAGAAGGGTCCAGCCGTCCCTTTCCCTCGTCAACGAACGGTGCTAACGTGGAAGTTTGGATTCACGAGAGCTTTTCAGCTATATTTCGCTTTCACCCGCAAATTTCGTAAATTTTTCACCCCACCACGGGGATTCGAACTCACGACCTCTCTCTGCGACTAGCGGATTACGAGGATACCACTAGACCACCGGGGCGACCAGCAGTAAGAGTAAATGATGACGTTCTCGACAAACTCTCAACGAGACACTTCCAGAGCCTCCACTTTCTGCACCGTTGTAGTTTCGTTGTTTTTGATGCACATAGCAATCGAGCTTTGACTTTTGAAAATCTGTCTCCATAGAGCAGGTGGCGGTATATTTTTTTTATGCGGCGACGTACATACATGCATGTACACCGGTCGCCCCGATGTTCTAGTGGGTAGCTTCGCAGCCTGCTAAGGGCCAGGTCATGAGTTCGAGTCCCGGCAGGGAGAGTTTTTTTCTCACTAAATAAACCCTGGTCTCCGTTGGAAGCGACGCGCTGCAAAAGCTCGTTTGTTAGTAAACCATAATCGACTTCGTAAGTCGCGAGGGAAGGGATTGCTGCACCCTTCTCGCGATAAAAAATACCTCAGGCATGAACCGCAGGAGGGGGTCCAACCCCCCCCTCCTGTGTGACCCCGGTTGGGTCGTCTAGCCAGTAGAAGTGGAGGATAGGGGCCAGAGGGGCAGACGGCAGAGTCCAATGATTGGAGAGAAACAAAACAACAACAAAAAAAAAACAGTCATTGACAGCAGTAAATGGACTCATATCATTGTTGTTGTTGTTGTTGTTGTTGTTGTTGTTGTTGTTGTTGTTGTTNACAGAGGGGCAGACGGCAGAGTCCAATGATGGGAGAGAAAAAAAATAAAAATAATACTCTGTGTACAAGAAGGAAGAGGACGTTAGCCGACAACGAGCGCTCAAACGAAACAAGAAGCCCGGCAACAACACGGACACGGCAACAACCACTGGAGCGGGAGAGGTACAGCAGGCGGACGAGGCGGCGAGGGAAGATAGGTAACGCAAAAAGGCACACCGAGTGGCGCGAAATACTGTTTGCTCCGGATTGAACCCCCTTGCTTGACTTATCCCGCCCCCCCCCGACACTGACATGGCAGTATCGCATGTGCGGGATGGGAGAGGAGAGGTTGCCGAGAATTGTATGGGAGGCGAAGTGGGCAAACAAAAAGAGGGGTAGACAACCCACGGAATGGGTCAAGGTTGTAGAGGACGTATGGAAGGGGCTCGACATCGACGAAGATGAAACGCTGGAAACGGAGGGTCTACAGGGGTTCAAGGAGAAGATATCTGTTGCTTGTGCCGAGAGAGAAGAACAGAATCTGAGGAAAGAATCCAAGGATAAGGAGGGTCTAGAAGTGTACGGAATGTTGAAGGAAGGAATAGGGTTCAAGGACTACCTACATGGACCAATGGATGCAGGAACAAAGCTTAAGGTCAAATTCAGGACCGGGGACATAGGCCTTCGAGAACGTCGACGAAGACATAGGACGGTAGACGACGAAGACGACGAGTTCAAATGTGATTGCGGCTTCGAATGCAAAGACCGTGTTCATGTAGTCGCGGAATGTCCGTTGTACAAGAAGGAGAGGGAAGTGTACGTGACTGAGCTGGGAAAAATAGATGGAACGTACAGGGAGATGTTTGAGGCATGGAATAGAGAGGAAAGGACGGTAGCTGTAGTGGGGCATAGGAGGTGGGTTGAAAAGGCGGGAAGGGATATCGTTAGGATAGACAGACTAGGGAAGACATTTTTGAGCCACCTTTGGCAAAGTAGAAAGGAACGATTGGCCATCGGTGATCGGTCCTGTGGGAGAACAATGCTCCGTCCTCTCGAAGACGCGTGGTCAATGGTCTAACCGCCAAGACATGCAAAACATAAGAGTACGCCCCCCCCCCCCCCCCCCC